TCCTTGCCAGGCTCCCAGCTGGGCACCTGGGCACCACTGTCCTCCTGAGGAAAGCACACCGCAAGGTTGAGGGTCTAGATCACCGAGTGATTTCCGCAGGGGTTCTGGGGGCCTGTGGCCTGGCTGGTGGATGTGCGTTGGGGTCCTGGAGGTTCCACTGGAGGTCAGAGTGCAGAGCCGCCAGTGTTACGTGACAAATCCCCATGCGCACGGTCACACGTGGTGGCCCAGAGCGAGGAAGTGTCGCCATCTGGGGCATGTTCATGGTTCTCCTGGGAGCTAAGCTCTTTGTTATTACAGAAGCACATGCTGATCTTGCTAACTAAAGCAATTACCATCATTTAGCAGTCTTTTCATAAACCATTCTTTCCACCCCAAAACACCACTTTTATTTGCCAAGTGCCGCAATGTTAACATCCTGGCACCTGATCAGTTTCTACTGCCAAATTATGTAAGCCCCTGGTTGGGCTCCAGCCCGGCTGGGCAAGCCCGGCTGCGGTGTGTTAGCATGGCAGACAGGGCTCTGGGCCGGGGAAGAGGAGAACAGCTGTCCTTAAACTCATTAATTAATTCAGCGTTTACACTTTGATTGGGAAGGAAATTCGCATTTGCTTAAGGCACCAGTGCCCGGCTGAGAAATGTCAGTCTGCGAATATATCGGATTGAGGTTTGTTGTCAAGGAAATGCAAGTTGTGGATGTTTCGTGAAATTCAACTATGTGCATTAATTTACCAGCAGGGAGCTAAGACTGTAATAAACCAAGGTGGCCTTACTCAGAGATTGAAATGTGATTAGTGTTGACGCGAGCAGCAGCAGCAGCTACTGAAATGGACTATAAAACCCTAGATCAGACTCTTATTAACAAATATTAAGAAACATTTTCATCAAAAAAGTCTGTCAGCGTAAGAAGAGATTATGGGGAGGAAGATAGGTGCGTGTGGTAAACGCCACACACACAAAGCATCCACGTTTGCAGCGAATGCCTGTTGGAGGGTTTTGTAAGGGGCTGGGGGTGGGGCTGGGGGGTAGAGTGACGGCTTGGTGGTGCCTGGGTTCACCCCACAGCGCCGCCCTGGTTGTTATAACTTTAATAAATATGAACGTTTCTGGAGACCAGAGAATGAGACCCGCCGCGCTGCTTGGGAGAGGGCCCGCACAGTGGCCGGCACTGCGGTCTCCGCGTCCCGGTGCCACGCTTGCACTCATGTGCCCCGCAGGGACTCGGACGCGGCCTGTGCGCGCTAAGCACGGTTTCCACACGGCTGCGTCCCGCTGGGTTTCATATCAGAAACCTTCCCGGGGTTGAAAAGTTTGGGGCCAGGATGTAGCTCAGTGGCACAGCGCCTGCCTGGCAAGCGCGAGGTCCTGAGTTTGAGTCCCAGTGCCAAAAGTAGAGCAAAATAAAAGTTTATCCTCTCTTTAAAGTACTACTCGCTGGGGCTGGGGATTTAGCTCAGCGGCACAGCTCCTGCCTGGCAAGCGCAAGGTTGTGAGTTCGGTTCCGGTACCGGAAAAAAAAACGAAAAAAAAAGTACAACTTGCTGACGGTAAAGGAACAAACAAGGTATGAACCTGCAAAGGCCGAGAGCGGCCATGGAGGAAAGGTACAGTTACCCTCAGTAAGAGAGAGATGCTGCTTCATACCTGAGCCAGAGCAGCGTTTGTGAAAGAGGAATAAATGAGAGGGCAGGGGAGAGCTATTGGAAATTACAGATTCAGTGCTTTAGTTTGGAAAAATATTGAGGCTGTATTTCTCAAAAACCAGTGCAAAACAGATGGAGTTGGGAGCGGAATGGAAATTGTGCGTACACTGTGTCATCTACCATGTGTAGAACCCATGAGAAATCCGAGCTGAGAACATGATTTGGAGACAGGGAGGAAAGTCCTAGAGGAAACAGCTAAAATTTGCGATTGGCTTATTCTGGAGAATGTGTTTGGGATGGGGGAAGGGAAGTTAGAGGTTATAGGTTTTTGCTGTATCTTGTTTTATTTTGATTAAGAAGTACATAAAAATATCAGTGTAAGCTGGGCGTGGTGGTGCACACCTGTAACCCCAGCATTCGGGAGGCTGAGGCAGGAGGATCATTGCGAGTTTGAGACCAGCCTGGGCTACAAAGTGAGCTCAAGGCCAGCCTGAACTGCATAGCGGGACCCTGTCTCAAAAAGACAAGACAAAACAAAACAAAACAAAATCAGTGTAACTGAAAGTGAAAGGAGACATAATGGAATAGTTGTAATTGGCAAGGTAATGGTAAATATCACAGAGGTTCGTGTCTCTGAGTTGTTCTGTCTGTAAGATGGGAAGTGATGTCGGTAGGCCTTCCACCAAGCAAAGTGGACGGCACCCTGCTGTTGCAGGAGCCTGAATGTGTCCCCAGTCCCATGACAGATCAGAGAGATAAAATAACAGTGTGCTGTCACTGGACAGTTACTAAGGTTGCACTAATGACTATATTTTGAATGTCATCCACAACTTAAAGTGGAGACCATACCATTCACTTAGGAAGCATTGACAAAAATTACTCATCTATATTTGCTCACAAGGCAAACCTCCATAATTTGAAAAGAAATAGTAAAGACTTAATTTTCTGACCACAAAACGAGTAGAAATAAATAACATTTAGAAGTAAAGATCCCCTAAGCCAAAATAACACAACAGCAAAATATTGGATGTGAAAAAAACTTTTTTAAATACAACTCTTGGATTAAAGACGAAATCAGAGCCAGCATTCTTGAGAAGCTAGTTCTGGACACAGGCGTAGGTGCTGTCCACAGAAATCTAGTCATGGCGAAGGCTGCTGGCTGCCTTCCCAATGTCCATTCTGCTTTCTCTTCACTACCACTGTGTTGATTTTGTTGAGTGTCAGTGAGCAGCTGAAACCCTTCTTTTGCAGCCTCCCTCGTAGCTGAGGGTGGCAGTATGGCTAAGTTCTTACCAAGAAGATGGGAAGGATTGATGGTGAGTCCTCCAGGAACGTCTAAAAAGAAGTTTGGCTCATCTGGTCTGTCTTTGACATATGTGATTTGGGCTCAGCTACTCAGTAATTTTAAGGTGTCTAGCACACGCTAGAGATAGAGAAGTGTGGCTTTAGTTACTTGTAATCAGCTGTGGTCTGGAAATATTAAGTGGGGATTCCAGAAGTAACTCATAAGTTTAAAGTTCCATACTGTTCTGAGTAGCAGGATGGACTTTCACCTCATGCTGCCCAGGGTATGAGTCACTTGCTATGTGCTGTGTATCCACACTGTATACACTACCCACCTGGCAGTCACTTAGCAGCCTCTAGGTTATCAGATTGGCTCTTGTGGTGTGGGAGTGCTTGTGTCAAAATAGGCTTTATTTTACTTAACCATGACTGTGAAGTGCAAGAGAGGTGATGTTGGCAATGTTTGTATGCCAAAGAAAAGCTGTATTTTGCTTTCTGTAAGTAAAAAAGTGAAAGTTCAATAAGGTATTTTGAGATACCATTATCATATAACTTTTATTACAGTATACTGTAATTCTATCTTATTATTGCTATTAATATCTTACTCTGTTTTGTACTGTTTTTTGAGAAATACAGCCTCAATATTTTTCCAAACTGTTCTTATTGTTGCTGATAATATCTTATTATTGCTATTAGTTAATATCTTATTGCTGTTAATCTCTTACTCTAATTTACGAATTAAGTTTTTTATCATAGGTGTGTATGTATGTAGGGTTTGGTATTATTTACAACTTCAGCCATCTACTGATGGGTCCTGGGATATACCTGTGCATTGGGGGTGGGGGAACAGCGACTACTGTAATGAAAATCGAAGTAGAACTCAGGATATTGGAAAGTGAAAAAAGCTAAATGATTGTTAATTGTCAGAACTGACTCTTCAGAAAAGCAGCAGTTAGAACACTACTGGTCCAGTCCAGGAACAGGGGAAGAAAGCACAAGTAAAAGTAGGTATGGAGACAGAGGAAATAAAATGATTTGTATTTTGCAAGACTGTGCAAATGAACTTGGAATTACGGGTTGAATGAGTGATTTTCTTGGAAAATATGCTGTGATCCTGGCTCCTGTGGGGAAAGAAGACTCAAAAGGGGCTTGTGGGTGACAGAAGTGAGGCAGCCACCCTCCGTGACCCCTCGGGGTTCCCTCTCCGCCGCAGGTTTTCGGAGTGGGCAGGGAGGGCTGGCTCCCCGTGGGCATCAGACCTGTGGCGTTGGCGGGGGCGGCCACACACCGGGCATGCAAGCGGGGCTTGGCGTCAAGACTCATTGCAAAATGAAGATGAGGCTCTGCACCTGCATCCCATGGTATTTTTTAAATGACGTTTTTCAGGTGACGAGGCCACTTGAACGTTCTGGGGAAGAAGAAAAGGTTCAGAAATTTTTTTAAAATCATTTACTCTCATCGTTAGTTTTACGAACAGCCGATCCCTTAGGGTGAAAATGTTTCCAACATATTCAAACACTAGAAAGATTTCAAAGCAGGACTGTGTAAAAAATACTGCAAGTGTTGTGGGAAGGTTAAAAGTACAGGAAAAAAGAAAAACAGTGAACATCAAAACTCTTTAGTTCTTGAGCACTTTCATGGAAAAGTACCTTGTTCTCAAACGCTGGCAGCTGGGACACCCTTCTTGGTTAAAAATAAATAGCATGAAGTGTGAGGAAACCAGCTTAAGGGAAAGGTGACCAGAACAGCAGTGAGCTGGAAACAGGCTCTGGAGCCTGTGCCAGGAGTTCTGGGCCAGTACCAGGGACTCTGCCCGGCCAGGGCTGTGCCTGACGCCGACAGGCCCTGCAGTGGGGCTGCCCCGGCGGGCTCTGGGAAGTCCGGAGGAGCCAGCGGGGTCAGGTCGGGGACAGGAGAGGGTGGCACTTAGCTTTTGGTTCTGAAGTGCTTTGCTGTTCAAAGCATCTTGTTTTCTCTGAACTTTGGAGTTTCCCCTCGTAATTACGCTAATCTTCATTTTAAACAGATGTAACTCTCGCTTAATGTCCTCTTCCGCCCCGTCTTTCCTGGTAGCTGGGACCGTGCGCCATGGAGCTGTACTTTGGTGAATACCGGCACGTGCAGCAGGAATACGGTGTCCACCTGCGACTGGCGAGTGACGAGAGCAGGAGGCCGAGGAACTCGCCGCGCTCCAGGACAGGCTCCTACGGCGTCAGTATCAGAGTCCAGGGCATCGACGGTCACCCCTACATAGTCCTCAACAACACGGAGCGCTGTCTGCCGGGAAATGGGCCCTCCTTCCCGTCTTCGGGGATGAAGGAGCGCGGCGGGGAAGAACCGCCGCCCCCAGAAAACCCATACGCCCAGCCCAGCTCACCCGGAGGCTCGAAGCAGCCCTCTCTCCCCGAGGGCAGGAATGGTGTCCTAGAGCGAAAAGACATCCCGGGGAGGTCGTCCCACCTGCTGAACTTTCAGAGGCATCCAGAGCTTTTGCAGCCCTACGACCCTAACAAGAGTGAGCTGAACGTGCAGAGTCACCCAGCTCCTGAGAGCGATTGGTTAACCGGTGTAACAGAAGAAGGCGCCAGCAAGAAGCCGCAGCCTTGGACTTGCTTTCCCAACCCCGGCAGCCCGCTGCCCGCCGGCCCTCCCCTGGAGTCCATCCGACTGTGCGGCTCTTTGGTCATAGAGGACCCCAAGCAGCAGACCTCAGTGTGCGTCAATGTCCAGAGCTGCGCGAAGGAAGGGCTGGCGGAGGAGGGCCTTTCCCCTGGCAGGAGGTCGACGGCCCTTAGCCCGCAGCCCCAGGCCGAAAGCAAGAGAACCAGGCCCGATGTCCTTCCCTTCCGGCGACAAGACTCCGCGGGCCCCGTCCTGGACGGGGCTCGGTCGCGGAGGTCCTCGTCCTCCTCCACCACGCCCACCTCGGCCAACTCTCTGTACAGGTTTCTGCTCGACGATCAGGAGTGTGCCATCCATGCTGACAACGTCAACCGGCACGAGAACCGGAGGTACATCCCCTTCTTGCCAGGGACTGGGCGGGATATTGACACGGGCTCCATTCCTGGTGTGGACCAGTTGATTGAAAAATTTGATCAAAAGCCTGGGCTTCAGAGAAGAGGACGGCCTGGGAGGCGGAACAGAATCAACCCGGACGACAGGAAGAGGTCCCGGAGCGTGGACAGCGCGTTTCCCTTCGGTCTGCAGGGCAGCGCGGAGTACCTGACGGAGTTCAGCAGGAACCTGGGCAAGTCCAGCGAGCGCCTCCTGCGGCCGTCCCAGCTGTGTCCCCAGAGGTCGCCAGCTCAGGAGAGCCGCGGGAGGCACGGCACAGGCCGAGCCTCGGCCAGGCCGCAGGGAGCCACGCACGGCGCCCAGGGTGCCACGCAGAACAAGGATGGGAAAGGCCTAGAAAACAAAGGAAGTCAAGAAGGCACCACAGTGGTTTGTACAACCTCCCTGGCAGCACAGGCCAGAAAGGAGGAAGAAATCAAAACAGCCACCGCTACGCTGATGTTGCAGAATAATCGGGCGGTGGCAACCTCGCCGGATTCTGGTGCCAAGAAAATTTCCATGAAGACATTTCCTTCCAGCTCAAACGCTCAGGTAACGCTGGTGTATTAGTCCTGTTTTCCCTCTTCCAGTGAACTAGTAATGTGCTAATGCTGCAAGTGGCCCTAGGAACACATCTTCTACCTCAAATCAGTAATTGCACATCTGACTTTTTTTTTAAGGATCAGGCTATGTCCTATTCCTTTCTTTTTTTTTTTTTTTTTTTTTTTTTTTTGAGGCAGAGTCTTGCTGTGCAGTTCAGGCTGGCCTTGAGCTCACTTTGTAGCCCAGGCTGATCTTGAACTCACAACAATCCTTCTGTCTCAGCCTCCTGAGTGCTGGGATTACAAGCGTGCACCACCATGCCTGGCCCTATGTCCTATTCCTGACTGTATAGTTTTCTGGGTTATTTCCAGTACCATGAGGTTTCCACTGTGATCTTTCTGTAAAGTAACTTGTCAGACATGGAAGGTGTGAAGCTGGAAGTACACAGAATTTGTTTCCCTCCAGGATTCAGGGATGGGGCTCTGGAGATACATTTTTATCCATGACATGGAATGACTAAGTTAATTTCTAGTCTGAGAAATTAGGTTAATTCTAAGCTTGTTTAGTCATAAAGTGGTGGGTTCTGTATGGTACATTCAGTGTCTTGGTGGTAACAATAAACAATAGCGATACGGTTGATAATGAGGCGGGTACGTGCCAGGCGCTGTGTGTTGCATGCATTTCTTCGTACTTGTTGTACCAGCCGTGTCAAGGCGGGTACTGTTAGCCTCAGTTTGGGGTGGGAAGATTGACGGGAGAGGTGAAGTAACTTGCTCAAGGTCACAGAGCCAAGCAGGGCTGGAGCAGACTGCGATGAGGATGTTTATCCAGGGAACCATTTCTGGAAAGTAGGAACCTGTTTGTTGCCATCTGCCTGGAAATGTCACCTTCCTGGTCTAATGAGAGACACGATTATGTTGTAGGCTACCCCGGATCTCTTAAAGGGCCAGCAAGAGCTCAGCCAGCAAGCCAATGAGGAGACGGCCAAGCAGATACTGTATAATTACCTCAAAGAAGGGTGAGGAATTTTCCTTAGGGAGCAGAGTGTTGTCATTTCGGGGGACGGTGGGGAGGGCACTCCTGGTTTCCTGTTCTAGGGATTTACGTCTTACCCAGCTGTCCTGGGGCTGTCTCAGTGGTGCAGCTTATACCAGCATTTAAATCTTGAGTGGAACAGGGTGGGGACGTGGGTAAGGGAGAGGAGAAATGGCATCATATTTCAAACATGAATACAGTATTTTTTTTTTTTTTTTTCTGAGACAAGGTCTGGCTATGTAGTTTAGGCCAGCCTTGAACTCACTATGCAGCCCAGACTGGCCTTGAACTCATGGAGATCCTCCTCCCTCAGCCTCCCAAGTGCTGGGATTACAGGGATGTGCCACCATGCTCAGTGAATACAGTATATTTTTAAAACGAGCCTTGACTGCTCAGATTTAAACTCAAGGATACGAGACTGTCTCTTGTTCAGTGTTCAGCTAGGTGGGCACCATCTTGAACTCCTACACAGACGGCGGTCCTGGGAGCCCTGTCAAGAAGTTACGGAGAGGAAGAACTTCCCTTGCCCACAGTGAGCGCCAGCCAGCAGCCCCGCTACCGTAACTCTTAGGGCACATAGGAGCTGTTTAGCAGCTGTGTTTTCTGAGCTTATCTCTGTACTTGGATTAATAAGCCTTCCAGTCTGTGCTCAGATGCTGTGCTGGATTCCAGCAGGGACGTGCGGGTCCTGCTCCCGTTTCTGGGCAGAGAGAAGGCCTCGGGCCGCTGCGGCTGAGAGCCAGCGTCTCCGCCACGCATGGGCTCCAGCACACTGGGCAGCTTTGTACTGTGTCTGGCAATTATTTGCATCACAGAGCTGACGAGCAAGTCAGGCTCAAAATGTAACACGGCATTGGTTCTTTGGGTTAAAAAAAGAAAAAAAAAGTAAGGAGATCCTTTTAGCCAAGAGCTAATTGTGTTAGTCTTTCCCTGTGGAGGGTTCTACCATGTTAAGATTAAAGTGGAAGAATTTTTGATTTTTAAAATTCTTTAAATTCCTTCCCTCCTTCCCTACTTTCTTTCCTTCCTTCTTTCCTCCCTCCTTCCCTCTCTTCCTTCCTTCCTTCCTTCCTTCCTTCTCTCTCTCCCTTTTCCTCCCTTGCTGAGATACTGGTGAGTCTGACTGCAGTGGGTGGCATCTAGTTAAGGAATTTTATTTAAATCTTTTAATTGCCAGAGTTGTGGTAGAAGTTAACAAAATTTGATCTGGTGGTTGTAGGTGGAAGAGAAAAGGCCAGTGTGCATATGTCTTGGTTTGGGGGGATGTTTTTTTTAACACATAGGCTAAACAAGTTCAGGGCTCTGCAGATTGCTCCAGTATATGATTTAAAGGTAAAGCGTGTGTGTATGACAGACAACAAAGAAAAGAATTCCTTTCAGAATGAATGCAAGTTATTTGAATGAAACAACAAAGGACTACATGATAACTAGTTTATTTAGAATGTGCTTATGTCTCACATATTTGGGAATGGAAATCCCTGTCCCAAATTGATAATAACATTGAACAATTTATTTGAAGAAAACCACACCCACCGTTCTGCTGGGCTAACACAGATTTTTGTCTGCAGCCTGGACCCAGGCCCTCAGTTTATCTTCCCTGGTAGCTGGAGTGTGTGGAGGTCTCTGGGTGTTCCACCTGGGGTTATGCCCCTCATTGTTTTTTTTCTGCTCTTTTTATAGAAGCTCTGACAATGAGGATGCCACTAAAAGGAAAGTCAACTTGGTCTTTGAGAAAATCCAGACCTTAAAGTCTCGTGCAGCAGGGAGTGCCCAAGGGAATCACCAAGTAAGTTGAAGTGTGGATTGTCAGAGTGTGTCTCTTGTGGAAGGCGGTAAACAGCTCATGTTGTCTCTGCATTTGTTTCTGGCAGTAAGTAGGATGTTTCTTCAGTAGTAAGCAGCACTTTCACTGGAGGATGGTCTTTAAATACAGGTTGGATTCCTAGCCCCCAAAAATCTGAACTCCTCCAAAATCCAAAACTTTGAGTGCAACATGGCGCCATAGGTGGGAAACTCCGTACCTAATCTCGTGTGTCATAGTGAATGCACGAGTTTTGTTTTCATGCACAAAACTGGGAAAGACCACCGTATAAAGTTACCTTTGGCTTATGTGTCAGGATGTAAATGAATTTCATGTTTCAACTTGGGTTCCCAAAATAGCTCCTTATGTGTCTGTAAATATTCTACCCCTCTCCAAAAAATCCCACATCCAACATGCTTCTGGTTCCAAGCATTTTGGGTGAGGGATGCTTAACCTGTATTTTTAATTTGTACTTTTTTTCAGAGCTATTTTAAGATATTTAAATAATATATAACTGTAATAGAATGACAAATAGTTGTTGAAATTTAGAAGGGGAAGATAAAAATAGGAAGAATGAAATAGCATATGGCTGGAGAATTCTCAAATTGCCACTGGCAAATTTGGAAGAGAAGTGTGAGAGCTGTGGGTGGAACTGAAAGGTCAGGTGTGAAGGAGTAAAGATTTCCATGTGCTCTGTGCATGGTGGCCCCTGCCTACAATCCCAGTACTCCGAAGGCTGAGGCAGGAGGATGGCTGTGAGTTCCGGGTCAGTCTGGACTACATAGTAACACTCTGTCTCAAAAACCCAAACAACCACCACCAAAATAGACTGACATTGGTGAAACCAGGCACACGGGGAGGGAAGGAGTACGGTGATACCAAGTGCTGTTCCTGAACTGCTCTTTTCTGGATTTGCTGAGTATGAGTGGGGGCTGATAGATGCTTAGATGCATGAGCAGTGATCTCATACCTGACGAACACCCGCCATTTGCCAGCACAGTTTGTGGCCTGAACAAAGCAGAACTTGAGAGAGGAGAGCTGCACACTGGCTTCTGGAGCCTACACCACTTGTTAGGCCTCAGTTCTCGGTCGTGGGGCTCCCCCTCCCTACCAGGGAGTTCTGCGTGGCGGAGAAGAGGGGGTAGCACTGTACCTGGAGCAGGCAGAGGGCATCTGTACCTGCATTTCAGCCTTAGGGACATGCACAGAGCACATGCTTAGCCTCGAGTGTTCCTTCGCACTCGGCTGGCCCATGACTATGCCGTGTGTGTGTGTGTGTGTGTGTGTGTGTGTGTGTGTGTGTGTGTGTACACATATGCATCCACCATTCCCGTGGGGCATCTTCAGGCCCTGTAACTGGCTTATACAGGCTTGAGGAGCTCTATGTAGTCCTTAAAATTAGTTTACTATTTGTTGGTTAAAACTCTTCAGTCCAAATTGTCACTGTGGATCTTGTTTCTCGCTTACGTGAATGTTTTGGGGGAGAACACAGTCTCTGGCCTTGGTGTTAACGTTGTCACTGTGGGTGACAGGCTCAACAGCCAGCTCACACTGGGGAAGTCAGACCGGCCAGGGAAGTCAGTGACGCTCCTTAATGGTGTTTCAAAAGATTGTAGAGAAGAAGGGACAGCAGGGTGCTCTGGATCAAGGAACAGGACTGGGGTCACTTAATGGCACCAGAACGTAGGGTCAGGGTGCTGGGGGAAGAGCCAGGCAGGAAAGACCTTGGAGATCGTATAAGGAATTCCCACTTCCGTGAAGGGCGGGGGCTGCATCGGTGGACCTGACCCAGGCACGACTGCTGTTGTACTTGTAACGTGTGTTCCTTTTGTGGCTTTTGGAGAGGGGTCAGGCTGGGGGAGGGGAGAGCTGTTCCGAAGCTGCTGCCGCGCCGAGCGGGGACGAGAAGCTAGAATGAGGCTCTGGTCACAGCTCTGACTTGAATCGCCCATGAGTTTCTGCCCTTTCTCTCCATCTCGTGTTCTGCGTCTGATTATTTGCTGGCCGGGGTTCTGGGGTTTTATCTGTGTGGTGCCTGTGAAACGATCCCTAGGAGAGAGCGTCGGAGCCCTCTGCCTACCTACAGACAGGCCGTTGCGGGAAATGGCAAAGCGGCGGGGGGTTTGTCTGGGAAAGAACAGCGTATGAGTCCCCCCACTGCGTGGGGTTTAAATTTCTAAAATGGATCGTTCTCATTTTGCCAAAGAAAATTGCAAGTCTTGTGTTTTTGCTCCTCAGTTCTTATCCCTTCCGTGGGGTGGGTGGGAAGTTTATCACAAACAACCCACACCTGGATTCCATGACATCCGAGCCAACGCTGCCTTTTATAGCTGTGGTTCCTGCTTCTATCTCTTCCTCTCACCTATCTAACCACTTTACTGTGGGATTTTAGCCAAATCCTTTGCAGAACATCATCTGTTATTTCCAGGGAAGAAGAAAAATGAGACCCATTAATATTCATACTCAGATCAGAGATATTTTCTAATAGCGCTCTTTGTCCTCTTTGTTATGTTTCTCTGCGGTGTGGAAGTGCGACATTGAAAAGAAGAAGCCAGGTTAGCCAAAATACGTTTATTTTACTACTTGCTTATAGGCACAGGCAGAGTAAGGAACGGCAAGCTCCCTGGCGGTAATAGGGCAGTAATCCCTGCAATACAGAGGCAGGGGCTTTGGGTATAACTTCAGGCAACAGATGTGTCTTCAGAAGATACTTGTTTTTACGTTGTTTTGTTGGAGTACAATATGCAGTAAGTTGCACTGTTTAACTGCATACCTCAGTGAATTTTGGATGTCCGTTTGCATCCATGCAAATACCACTCGGATCAAGAGTCAACATTCCCGCCGCCCTGCTTTCCCAGGCTTCCTGCTCGGTCACGCTCCACACTCTGGAGGTAGCCGTCTCCTAACTTCTGTCACCTGGATTAGGATTTCCTTTCTTGGAATTTGTGTTCAGAAAGACCGACAATTTGTGTTCTTGTGTGTCCAGCTGAATTTCCTCAGCAGTGTGTCAGTGAGAGTCCTGCGTGTCGTATTTGCCCAGGAACTGTTTTATTGTTCTGGAGTTTTCCGCTGTGTCAGCAATCACTAGAGTCCATCTTGTTTGTGGACGTTTGCGGTTGGGCGGTTAGGAGGAGAGCTGCCATGAATTGTGTTGTACGTGCTTTTTCTTGGGAACAAAGTCACTCCTTCTCTAGAGAACACCTGGGAGTGAATTCCCTGGGTCATGAAGTAGCCCAGCTTTGGCGCTTCAGTGTCGCCCAGGGCTGCAGAAAGCACCGGAAGGAGTTCAGGCCGTGCCTCCTGCAGCAGTGCGCTCGGGTCCCGCGTGCTCCTCCTCTCTGGTACCTCACCTCTGTTCCATTCCGCTGGCCTGCTGGCCTCTCCTTGCATTAGTACTACGCGGATACAGTACCTGAAAGCTAGTACTGTGTAGCTTGCCTTCCAACTTTATTCTTCTTCAAGGCTGCCTTGGCTATTCCAGGTGTTTTGCCTTTCCACATAGACTTTGGAATCAGCTGGTTGTTTGCATCAAGAAGAGGTGAGAAGCTGCAGGAATTTTGATGGGGTTGCACTGAGTTATTGGCATCTTAGCGTGACTGGTATTCCCGTTCGTTCGTGAGCGTGCGCTTCTATGTCTCCACCTCCTGCTGGCTATGTCCCCCGGTGTTGCTCATTCCTTCGCGTTCAGCCTTGCCTTTTAGGACTGTTTTCTTCCATCCCGGAGAGTTTTGCTATCACACCCTGCAGTCCTTGTCTGTTCAGTGTCGTTTCAGCTCATCTTCTGTTCATTCTCATTTTGGAGGGCACTTGCCCGAGTATTGTTTTGTTTCAGGACTTCAGAAGCATCGAGTGGTCTTTTGTCCTCGGGGGCCCACTGGGGAGCCAGGCGTCTGTGCCAGCGTTGCCCTCCTGGATGTGAGACATCTTTTCTCTCATCTTTTCTCTTCAGCTTTTAGAAGTTTAACTGTAATGTGCCTAAATGTGGTTTTTCATGTATTTATCTCACTTGAGGTTCCTTGTGTTCTTGAATTGAAGGGTTGCCGGCTTCATCAGATTTGAAAATGACTGACTGGCCATTATTTCCTTGCATATTGCTTCTTTTCTATATTCTTTCATCTTTTTTTCAGATTCTAGTTATGTGTGCAGAACTTTTAATGGTAACCTGTATATCTCGTGTTCCCTGTTGGTGTGCCTGTATGTACATGTTTGGTGTGTGTGTTTGGGAGGGTGTTTTTACGGGTGTGTGTAATGTGTATGTGTCCCCTTCGATGCATCAGATATTCTGTGTATTTTCTACTGACCTTTCAAATTATTAATCTTGTTTCTGGCTATCTTAGTCTTCTTTTAAGACTTACTAAGATGTCTTTAAACAAATCTTCAAAAAAAGAATCTTCTTTAAGGCTGATTCTGTCAAGAACCATCTAATGAATTCTTAAATTTCAGATATTATGTGTGGCCATTCCAGAATGTCCTCTTTATTATATTTGTGGATTCTGAGTATGTATGGAAAATCATCTTTTCATCCATTTTGTCCATGATTCCCTCTGTTTAAAAACTACTCTCTGTATTTCTTCTGAAGTCCTAATCTGCGAACTTCCACGTCTGGGTCATCTCCGGGTGACAAGCTTGGGTGTCCTGGGTTGGATTATCTCTCGCTCAAGAATGTTTTCTTAGTCATTCAAATGGTCATCAGGTGGCCTTCAGGCCATGTGCTTGGCTGTCGGAGGCGCTGCTCTTGGGGGTGGGAAAAGCTAGTAAAATTTTTGCCCTTGTTCGGGTGGCAGGGCCCCTGTTTTCTTCTTGGGTCTCAAACGAATGCCACGCTGTCCACCAGGACTTTCCTGTGTTTGCCGAGTTGGAACCCTGGTGCCTCCTAGACGTGTGCAATCTGTGAAGTCTGTTGGCTTCTTTGCCTGCTTGTAGCTTGGCTCTGCTGGCCTCAGAGTCTTTCCGTGCTCGTCACACAGCCCAGGAACCGTGCAAGGATCCAAGGAATGTTTTTGCCCCAGGACTGTGCAGCTCCGTCTGTGGCGGTCGTACCCGCTAGGATCCTAACCCTGAAATCGCTCTGCTTACCATCTCTAGACACCAGCCTCTTTTCCTTCATCAGTGAGCTGCCGCTTTCCATTGGGATTTTTTCTTAAATTAATAGACTTTTTGTCAGAGAAGCTTTAGGTTCCCAGAAGAATTGAGTGGAACGTACAGATTTCCCGTCCCCCATGCGGTGTCCCCCAGAATGGTACGTTTGCTATAATCGGTGGACCTGCCCTGAGCCGTCCTTACGGCCTGAAGTCCATCATTCACACAGGGTTGCTCTTGGCATTGTGTTTTCTTTGGGTTTGGGTCACTGAATGATAACATGCATCCACTATTACAGCATCGTGGAGAGTGACTTTGCTGTCTTAAAGTCCTTTATGTTCTGCCTGTTTCTCTTCCCTCTTCCTCATTCCGTAACAACCAGGAATCTTTTAACTGTATAGTTTTACCTTTTCCAGAATGTCCTAAATTTGGGATCATACCGCCTTTTCATAGTGGCTGCTTTCACTTAGTAATACGCATTTCTCTTGTGTCTTTTAATGGCATGACAGACAGCCCATTCGCTTTTAGGGCTGAGTAATATTGTTTGACATAGCGCAGCTTATCCATTAACCCACTGCGGACGCCACGGTCGCCTCCAAATGTTGTCAGTGGGGAACAAAGGTCCTATAAACATTCATGCATGGTTTGTGTGTGAACGGACGTTTTCACTGTATTTGGGTAAGTGCCAAGGAATGTAACTCCTGGGACCTGTGATAAGAACATGCTTAGGTTTGTAAGGAGCAACTGGACTTGCAAAGTGGCCGCACCGTTCTTCATTTCTGCCAGCGGTGGAACAGAGTCCTGCTGTTCTGTATCCTTGCCAGAGGTTCCTGTTTTCAGTACTTGGGGTACACTGATGTCTTATTGTTTTAATTTGTAATTTCCAAATAACGTTTTCACATTTCACTGTACTATGGTTTGCAACTGTGGTCAGGGAGAGCCCAGGGGAGATATAGCATGACCTCATTCTTTTTAAAGGTTATAGTCCTGCCGGGGATATAGCTCAGCGTGCAGCACAGCACCTGCCCTGCAAGCGTGACGTCCTGAGTTCTATTCCTGGTACCAAAAAAAAAAAAAATTACAGTACTAAGTTATTTGGCTTTCAGTGCCTGCAGTTATCTTATGTGTTTTGTCCGCTTTCATAGCTTTTCTGGGAGAGTAAGTCTGAGGTCAGGTCCTCGGTCACGACTAGAGCTAGAATTCCAGAAATCATTAACTGTGATTTTATTGAACGTAGGAGAAGTGTTGGGTTCTGTGGATGGGAAGGTGAAGGACACACAGCTCCACCCTCAAAGTGCATGATGTAAGGGAGTAATTCTCAGACCACTGAGACGCTGAGGCTAGACCGTGTTCTGCCACTGATGAAGAAAAGTGAACGTTTCTCAGTTTACCTACAAAATGGTTTTGTCGCTGACCTTTTTCTTAATCAGTGATTTCTATGGACTGGAATCTAGATGTTACTATGGAGAAGCTATTAAGTTTTGCTTGTACTAAATTTAATACCTTAATATTTCATACTGCTCTACAGAATACTTAAAGGACTTCCAACAAATATATCACCTAAAAAAATATATCACCTGTCCACATTTTAGTCATGTATTGGAGTGATGTTCAGAAGTCTGATGAAATAATCCTTGTGACTATGGTAAATGATGTCAAATAAAGTTCACTGAGGCTCCAGGTGCCAGAATGATCAACTGCCTGTGAATTCAGAGGAAGTTCTGTAGGGGTTGATACTTGAATTGAGTCTTAAAATGGTATTATGCCTTATCTGTTACTGCTCTGATTATATTTGGGGGAAGAGAACTGAAATAAACCATCATGGGTATTTAAATTAGAATATCTTCGCATTTAATTCTAGACTACTAGCACCTCATCTGAAGTCAAAGATCTGTTGGAACAGAAAAACAAGTTGACCTCAGAAGTGGCTGAACTTCAGCAACAGCTTCAACTAGAGATCAAGGTATCTGATTTTCCTCTTATTTTTTCCATTTCAGTCTCGGTAGATAATATTTTAAGCACACTGGGATGTCCAAGTGAAGTGAAAACCACTTTTTTTCCTCCAAAAGAAACATTCCTTTCATCACTGAGTACATTCCTATGAACTTGGCTGCTGCTATTCAAAGAATTTTTCTTTTAAGTAACCAAAGCATAGAGAAATTGTTTTCTTGGACAGTGTCTTTAGCTGCCTTGCCACGGCTGCCTCAGTGTCCTGAATTGATTCCGAGTGTTCACCTCTCGTGGCCGTTTTGACTTTGGGGGAAGAGCCAGAGCACCTGCATGGTGCCAGCTCACAGGACATAGTAAGATGTAGTCACAGGTGTGCCTTTCTGTGGGCTGGCCCTCAGCAGCAGTGTTCACTGTATTTTTTATCACATCTTATAAAGACACTCGCAAAGGAGCACTTCTGGAACAGCTTCAGAAAGTGGCCAGAACCGTGGGATAAGTATGTTCAAAGTGGGAGGAGTATTCTAAGGGGGTTGATAGCAATGTGTTTTTTACTGTAAAAAGTTTTTTAAAAATTCAAACATTCACATATATTTAAATGTCTTAGTTACTGTCTTCTTGCTGGGACAAAGTACCTGACACCCACAAGTTAAAAAAGAAAAAGTTTATTTTAGCTCACAGTTTGTAGAGCTATCATTCCGTAGTCTAGTGGCTCCAAGGCAAGGCACATGGCAGGGATGCACTGCAGAGGAAAAACAGTCCATGGCAGGGCAGACCGGAGCAGCCAGCAGTGAACCTCCTTTTCTTTTATCTCCAGAGGCTGTAAGCCTAGGGAGTGGTGCCACCCACTGTATACAGTAGTTTAACTATGTTTTTGGGAGTATTACAATGCCTTAAATATAAATATTTTTTCTAGTTACATATTCTTATGCCTTAGGTATATACTATGATTAAGTTGTTTAACACAGTAAGTGCAGCAGAAGGGAGTTCCTTGGAGTTTGGACGTGGGCTTCCACGGAGTCCTGTTGTGTGCAGTGGGGGGACTTTGGAATCACACTGACTGATGCATGTTAGAACCAGCAGAACATACAAGAAGAGAGAGAGCGCCTGAGAGCAGACTTGGAAGCGCTTCGGAGCCAGCTGGACAGGCGGGTGGAGGACAGCGCCCCGCTGCAGCAGCGCCTGGAGGAGAGTGAGGCTGAGCTCCGGAAGAGCCTGGAGGAGTGAGTGCCCCAGCCCCGCCCTGCCTGGGCCCTCACGTTGCATGCAGCCAGATCCTTTGTCCTGGTGACGCAGCCCTCCGGATGTTTACTGAGCCTGCTTACCCTTCCTTTCCCTCCTGTCCCTGGGCAACTGTGAAGGAGGTGACATCTGCAGGCAGGTGTATGCTGATAGTTACTAAAATTCTTTGTGATTTGCTCCGTCTCCAACAAGCACGTGTTATGCGCCCTCTGGTCTTCCAGTGTGTGAATTCTGTCCTGGAGGGTGCTTGTCCCAGGCAACAGAGAAGGAAAGTCACGTCCAAGCTGCCTGCCACTGTGTTATGTTAAGTCCCCGGCAAAGGATCTAAAACCAAGGTCTGCAGATGCATGGTGCCGTGCGGCCGGCGATCGTGACAGGAGCCTTAGTGGAAGGTCAAGCTGGAGTGGATCTGAGGGAGAAATTCAGAAAAATCAGGACACTATGTAATAAAAATTTAGCAGCCTTTGTGACTGTGATGGTGGAGCTTTTGCTTCTAAAACGTTTATAGACAATGGAGAAGTGGTCCAAGGGAACAAAGGCGAGGGGTGAGGAGGAGGGGAAGAGGAAATAACTAGAACGAAGATGTGCCGTGCACAGGAACCTCATAACCCGCTAACGTGAACGTTGTAGACCATAGCGTGAGGTCAGACAAATAATGCCAACAGGAATAAGAAATGGGGCAGAGGAGCTGGAGGAGGAGGGAGAGGGAGGAAATGGAAAGGGATTTAAAGAAAAGAAGCTTTCCTATGTGCTTGTAACCATTCCCTCAGGTTGTAAGCTGTGTGCACTACAAACGTGCACAAGTGAAATGAAAACTTTAAAAACAGTAAGGATAAAGCCTTCGTAGGGGTTAATTTCAGAAAACAAGTTAGAAGACAGTCAAAATCGCGTGTAGGAAAGAGCTTCCAGCCTGAGAGGTGCGGGTGCTGCGGTGCGGTTTGGGTCAGGAGTTGGCAAACTCCCTCCGAGGTCCGCTTTGCAGCACAGTTGGCCACAGCCACTCAGCCCTGCCCGTGTCCCGTGTGAGGCCACGGCAGCGCCCGGGCGAGTGAGCATGGCCGCGCTCCCTAGCTGTGTTTACAGAAAGCACGCATAAGCTGCATCGGCCCACAGGCCACAGTGTGCTGATTCTCTTGCTCTAGAGTGTAGTACCGGGGTAGTGGAGAGTGTGGTGACTTTGTGAAAAAATATCAACTCTCTCTCTGTGTGTGTGTGTGTGTGTGTGTGTGTGTGTGTGTGTGTGTGATTTTCTCATCTTCCCCGTGTTTTCCTTTTGGGGAGAAAGTGCCCTCACAGCCTTTCCTATTCTGCTGGTTTGAGATCTCATCGGATGTCTTGGGCAGAGTAGCTCTTCCCAGAGGCCCTTGCAGGCTGGTGATTCCTTGGTCCGTGCAGGATGGACCCTAGGGGGGTTCCCTGGGGCTTTGGCTCCCTCTGTGGGTCCCTGAAGGACAGAGTCAGAGAGGGGGAAGTGTCTGATGGCCGCCTCTCCTGCCAGGCTCTTCCAGGTGAAGATGGAGCGGGAACAGCACCAGACCGAGATCAGGGATCTGCAGGACCAGCTCTCAGAGATGCACGACGAACTGGACAGTGCCAAGCGGTCCGAGGACAGGGAGAAGGCGGCTCTGATTGAGGTGAGGGGCTGGGGGTGAGGGGCTGGCTCCGCCTCTGGAGAAGACAGGGTGGGGAGAGGGTGCGTCCGTGCTCCTATGGTTAGATTTATTGAGAACATCATAGTTTATTGTTTGTGAACATTGTCTTAGGAAGATTTCAACCACGGAGAAAAGTAGAAAGATGGGTACATCAACACCCATAGATTTCCAACACAGAGCCAACAGTTATCACTGTTTTGTCATATTAACTCCATTTATTTATCTGTTCATTCTTCTGTTTCTTATATTAGCTTACCAAACCATTTCAAAGCAAATTACAGACCATACCATATCTCAATCCCAAGACTTTCAGCATACATCTTTTTAAAAAATAAGGGAGTTTTCTTATGTAGGTACAATACCACTATTATACCTAAAAAATTAGTGATTTTCATTATATATCCAGTAATAATACTTCTAAAACTCACTCCTCCAAAAGAAAAAAAGGGGGCTGGGGATTTAGCTCAGCGGCACAGCGCCTGCCTGGCAAGTGCAAGGTTGTGAGTTTGATTCCCCGTACCGGAGAAAAACAAAACAAAATTAAACTCAGTCCTTATTCAAAATTTCCTAATGGTTTCCCAGGGATATTTTATAGTTGTGCTGTCTTACCCTAAGCCAGGATCCAATCAGAAATCATAGTTACTTCCCTTGTTACGTACCTCATATTTCATTTACCTTCATAGCTCCTGTCCCATCCTCATGCCTTGCCCTCTGTCTCATCCTGCTGATCTTCTGAGGAAGCCAGAGCTGTGCCTCATCTTCTGGACTTGACTGATTGTTTCCTTATGGTGTCCATTAACTTGTTCCACTATCCCCTGTATCTTTAGCAAATTGGAAATAAAACACTGATAAATTCAGGTTAAGCTTTGGACAAGAATACTTTATAAATGTGGTGTTTGTGGAAAAGCATTAGGATTCTATTAATGCTTAAAGCTTTTATTTTTTGAGGCCCTATAAGACTGTATGTTCCGTGATGCTCAGCACTGTATTTGCCACACTACCACAGTGCCTGGGATGTGTGACGGTCAGCACATAGTTGGTAGGTGATCGGATGGTCCATGATGAAGGGGGAGTGAGACAGTAAATCTGTTTGCTGTGCACTCCAGGTGCCCATCTGCCTTCTGCTCAGAAGAGACGTTGAGCATTTCTCTCTTAAACCCGTGAGTCACTGGATAAGACTGACTCTTCCACTCCAGGTAGCATTTGGTAATTATCATGGGGTCTGTCAAAGACCCTTGTCTTCGCTTCCCTGAGTCAATTACCAGCCTGCTGAGGTATAAAATATGAAACGATTAGAGAGCAAACATGTTGATTTTGAACATCTGCATTTTTGGGGGGAATAAATACAACTGAGGGTTAGGCCAGGCGTGGTGGCACATGCCTATAATCCCAGCACTGGGGAAGCTGAGGCAGGAGGATCGACATGAGTTCAAGGCCAGCCTGAACTATATAAAGAGACCAAAAAAAACAAAAACCAAAACAAAAAACTCCAAACATCTATCTATCTATCTGTCCATCTATCTGTGAGAAAAAGCTAGATCCTTTATCTCTGCATTCCAGTATTTGATACTGCTGTAACATGAGCATTTTGGCATAGTATTGAAGTATGTTTCTTTATAAGCTTTGGTATAACAACAACCCAGTAAATAAATGATAGGTAGTCTAGAAAAAAGATTCCTCCCCGCTCCCCACAAAAAGAGTAAAAATTTAAAGGTTCCTTGTTTGCATTTCATGTTCTACTGCTTTTCCCTTAGGGCTTAGGTGTTTTCTTTGTCCCTTTCTTGGAGTTAAAAAGTCTGTCTCGTAAGTTCCTGGACCTTCTTAAGTCTCAGCCGTCAGCTGCTTTCTGTCCCCTCCCTGGGTTACTTTTGAAGTAACTCTCCAGGAAGGATTTTAGTTCCTCCTTGGGGGAGCTCAGCCCTCCTCACTCCTGTGACCTGGCAGGGGCTTCAGGCGTGTTGCGACCACAGTGGTGAGGCCCCTGTGCTTGCTTTCACATGGGCTTTTTCTCTTCTTCTGCGTGACCATCTTCCGGCTCCTGGTTAGGCCTTCCTTGCCCCCTGGTATTTCTCTGTATCAGATGATTCCAAAACATGATGGAATCATATTGAGTATCAATATGATGTCACATCAATATGCTCGTATTGACTCCATATCATATGGAATAGGATCTGATTCCATATCCATCTGTGATATGGCGCCCCGTCTCACAGCTCTCCAAGGGCAAAGTCTGTGAGAACGGGCTTTGAAAATAGGTGTATTTATCTGTGAAATTTTGCAACAACTTAAAATGAAATTTTGAAACAAGGCACATACATACATTTTCTTAATACCTAAGGATTTACTTTTGGCAACATTTTCCACTTGCTCCCATCATTGGCCGGTGTCATCCAGCCATCTTTATATTATATAGGGACAGCCAGTGTTGCTGCACTTTTGGTACCTGCTTCTCAAAGGTAACACGTCAGAAACATTTCCCATATGTATACCACCTTCATAGTTAACTTTTGAGATGGAAGACCACAGTCTGTCTAGTTACTGTCCTAGATTTTTCTTATTTTGCAGTTATGAACAAATCCCGTGGTGAGCACTTTTTACGTCCGTCTTTACATGTAAAAACATTCCCTAAAGATACAGTCCCAGAAATGATGTCCCTGAAGGGTTTCTGACTTTCAGTATGTACAGCTTCTCAGAGAAATTCAGACAGATGGTAAGGTTTGACAATTCTCTGATCTTTGAGCGGACACTTCAGTGGATCTAAAAGGAAAAGGTGTTAGAAAAAAAAGATGTCAGAAACGATGTAATCTTAGCTCCTGGGAAGTCTCCTGAGTTGCTGATTTTCATTAACCACCAGAACTTGACGCTGTCCGCTGCCCTTTGGGGAAGATTCTCCACGGCAGCCCACTTGACTGTGTTCTATTTCGGTGTTCACCGCTTTCTTCTCATCACCTGATCCAGGAGCGTTCATCTTTGTGTCTTCCCCCATCTCACGCCTGGGAAAGTGCTAACCACTGCAGCAGGTGATAATTTGCAGTCTTCGAATTACCTTAAAAAGTCGTCCCTTCAGAAAGGAATAATTCTAACCCAAAGTGTGTACTTCAAGTGCAAGCGCAACATCCTGACGCTTAGTCCTGAGCAATCTGTCGGGTGCAGCGGGCGGTTGGTTTACGTCGTGCACTGGGTAAGGACATGCGGCTCTGCTCCCCGGGGGCTGCTCACAAGAGGCCTGCCGGGGAGACCTTGTGCGTCTTTCCTTCAGCATGTTCCTGGAGTTGCTGGCTCTGGGTCGCTTGTCCCTTTCCAGGCAGGAGCTAAGACATCTGCCGCCTCTTTGCGGGAGGGTTTAGGGCTGGGAGCACAGTGAGCTTCTGAGGCCTGCGTGGTTTTCTTCCCTCTGGAAAGAGAGGAAATCCTCCTCACTGCTTCTGCTGGTTCCTTCTGACTTGTCAGCAACCTTTAAATCATCATCTATGGTTTCTGCAGCATTAATAAAATAGACGTCCTCTGTCTCCTTGTCACTTTCAGTGTATTTGTATCTTAATAAAAACTAGCCCTGGGGAATGTGATAACAGATTGCAGTTGTGGCCAAGTTTTCCACGGCCTTTGGCTTAGAACAAACTCTTAAACACAATGAACTTTAAACTTTTGAATGTCGGGAAAGGTTACAGGCCCCGTACTGTCTGCCCCAGGCTGCCTGGGGGGCCAGCGCTCTCATGAATTTCTGTTGTGGCGCCAGGGATTGTTGTCAGAGCCTCACAGAAGCTAATTATGTGCCCTACCACTGAGCTCTCCAGCTCAGAAATCTGTCATAGTTCACATTTTGATAAAAGATATCTATATGGAATCTGTAAAATAACACTAAGAAAAGAAGTAGTTTATGGAAAAAGAGGTTGGGTATGGTGGTGCATGTCTGTAATCCCAGCGCTCAGGAGGCTGAGGCAAGAGGATCTCTTCAAGTTTGAGGCCAGCCTGTGCTATATAGTGAGTTCAAGGCCAGCCTGGACTATATAGTGAGACCCTGTCTCAAAAACCAAGCAAACAAACCCAAAGAGAAATGAGCTCTTTGGGATACTGTAAACTATCTTGGGGTGGTATTACTGAGCATTCTGCAAATTCTAACATGAAGCAACTAGAAAGGCCACGATTCTCATCCACTGTGGTGCTTTCTCAAGGAAAAGATTACAGGACTCTGTCAGGCACCACGTGGGAGAGAACCACTGACTCGCTCTTCACTGAGCTGGGCCAGAGGCAGGGACCCCCAGGACCTTGGGGACAGGAGGGTCTGGCCCATGTTTTCCCTGTTTTGGTGTGGAGTAGCTGGTAGCAGGTGGTGTTTGGAATACAGGTGCCTCCCTGTCTCTTAGGACTGCTGCCAGGATGGCCACTTGCCTGCCTTCCTTCCTTTCTTCCTTCTTGGCTTTTCAGGTTTTGGTCATGTGTCTTTGCTTTGTTTACAAATGTGAACTCCCCATAGGCACCACCAGCCAAACCGAGCTCAGCTCTGTGCATGCCTGACGGACCCCAGGCCCTTTGCTCGCTCTCTGCCCTGTGAGTGTAGGCTCTGTGCTGGTGGCTGTGGATGTATCGTGAGGGGAGGGGAGTTGGGATCCAGTCTCACCCGTCTCCGCCGTGGCTCGCCTCGTTACAAGCGGCGGGGTCCCGGGCAGGGTAGCGTCTCAGAGCTCCTGGAAGTCTGCAGGGATGTGTGACAATTGCAGCGAGTACTGAACACAGCCGACTTTTCCAGCCCCCTCCAAAACACACGTGTGTGCACACTAGGTGCTTCTTAGTCTCTTGGCTGTGCGTGCACGGGAGCTGAGTACATCAGGGTCGGGAAGAACTGATTCTGAAGAGCCAGAGAGTCCCGTTGTTTCCTTTGATTGGAGCCTGCAAAGCAGCACGTTTGTCTGCAGCGGATGTTTGTGTCCCCTGTGAAGCTGATGCAGTGCTCTTTCCTTCTTTGACTTGATACAATTAAGGCGCGAGGTCAGGAGTGAGGTGTTTGAAACCTGCTGTGCCGCTTGTCTCTGCTCTGGAAAGCCTCAAGCGCTGCTGTGTGACACGGCTGGGTGTAATCTGATTGGATCTGTGTGGGGCGGCCCACTTAGGCAGCAGCCCTGGTGGCAGATAAGGGCCTGTGGTGCAGGGTGGACCAGAAAAGCCTCCGCTCTGGCGACACAGAGCACAGATACGCCCTGGAAGAGATAAGCGTGGGGAGAGGAACTACTTTATCGCCCGAACAATTGAGAAATGTGGGACAGTAAGAGCAGGAAATAAGGTCAGACTCCCAGAGCTGCTCTGAAGCTGGTGAGAGCTCCGGGAAGCCCTGGAGGGCTGGCCAGAAGCCATAGGGATGGGGGGTGCTCGTCCTCCCCAGGTGGTGACTGCAAGGCATCCCCACTGACGAACATCAGCACCTTGGTGTGGAAGAGCCAGAGCCCCCAGCAAACCTGGAGGGGTCTGGACAGTTGTCTGAGCTCATCAGCGTTTGCTGGGCGGATTCCTGATGGCCGAGTCTCAGCCTGTGCTGTGGGCTCCCTCCTGGGATTGCCTGGCTGCTGGAGCCACATCTCCTTAAAGGCACAGAGAGACGTCACTGTCCGTCATGTTCAGGTGGACTGAAATGCTTTTGTACTCTCGGCGGGGACACATATCAAGAGAGAGAGCAGCTTATCATCTTGCAGGCCATGGTCCCCAAGAGAACAGGCTGTGTTCATCTTTTAAATTTGTTTTTTGGTACCAGGAATCGAACTCAGGACCTTGGCGCTTGCCAGGCAGGCGCTTATGCCCCTGAGCTACATCCCCAGCCCCTCATCTTTTAAATTACTTCATTTTCACGATTTCGTGTTTGCAGCACGTAATGATTACACTCGTGAGGAGTTGGTGTGTGTGCATAACGCATCTTACACTTCTTACTTCTCCTTTTCTTGCCGTCCGTTTCTGCCTCTTCCCTCATCTCTTGGACCACTGAGAACAGGATATGCTCTTATTCAGGGCCTCACAAGGGGTGGACTGGGTCCAGAATTCTGACATGTCAGACCCTTGCTGCGCCGCACAGGTTACCTTATTCCCAGAACAGATAAATGCTCCTACTGCTGTGATTCTTACGTCAAAAATACGATAAATCAGATCTGTACCTGTCTTTCAAGGAGCTGACAGCATAGGAAGGGAGATCAGAAAAAAATGACCACAAAACATAGAATGCAAGCTGGAGAGTCGAGTGTCACAGGAAGAGGAGAAGTAAGATGTGTTTGGGAGGGAGCTTAAGGAAGACTTCTTGGAGAAGATCACACTGGATCTGGGTCTTCAGAGATTTCCCACAAGGAGGAGTGGGATGGGACTGAGGGGAGGTCATTTGGAGGACGTCTGTGGGTGTTGTCATGGTGGCCGCAGGTGAGGGACTAGCTTTGGGGGCAGGTGCTTGCCTCCCGGGAAGCACTTACAAAGGAGGTGGTGTGGGCCTAACCCGAGGAGGTGAGAGGGAGAAGCCTCTCAGATGTTACAGGAATAACTCTGGTTGTGAGGAACCAGGACAGGAGAGGAAAGTCAAAGTTGTTGCCAAGCTCCCGAGCTGGCTGTTAGGGAAGCAGCAGGCATAGTCGGAGAATTAATGGGAACAGGAAGTGGATGGGAAGGGACGAGATGAATGAATTCACCTAAACCTGCAGCCCTCCTGGATGGGGTGCCGGGGCAGGCCCGGGCGCGTGTGTCCAGCAGTCCCTGCGGTGTTGGTGCAGGAGTGAACTCCAAGAAGGAGTTCCAGGGGTCAGGGTTGGTTTCAGGTCAAGGGTTCAGAGTCGTTTTTGTAGAATTAATAGTTTGGAGAAAAGTGCATGAGCTTGCCAAACGAAGATAAAGAATGCGAAGTTACATTCTGAGCTTTTTGAAAGAGGGAGAGAAAAGCCAGAAAAGATCCTCACAGAAAACCCAACCCGGGCAGGGAGGCAGGAGGGCTGCCGCCGTTGGATTGCAAGGCAGATGGGGGTCCCAGAGAGGAAAGGCCACTGCAAGACAGGCGTGGCCTGGGACCTGGAGGGGGGGCTGTTGCAGTGCAGCGGGGACTGGCAGCGCAGGAGAGGGCGTCCAGGTGCGAGCGGTGCTCCTGGCGCTGTGGTCGGGGGCCAGGTGGTCGTGAGGCTGTGGGCAGAAATAGTGCTCTCCAGCGGCCTGGTGGCAGGGCTTGCTGGGAGCCAAGGTTCAAGGCCGTGGGGAAGAACAAATGGTAAGAACTCAGGGTGGGTGGGCCGGGCACCCACTTCCCTGGGAAGGCGCTTGGGTGGGGGCAGGCCTGGCGTGCCAGGGACAGCAGAGGTGGCGGAAGCACCAGGGAGGGCAAGCCCTGAGCTGCAGCCGCACCCAGGGCCTGGGACGAAGATGCTGCCGCCCCAGGAAGCCGAGCCTTTGGCCAGCTCGGGTGGAGGAGGTGCGATCTGAAATGGAACCTGTGGGCTCGGTGGGTGCTTCCCTTGGGTGTTCCTGGCAGTGACGGAGGAGAAAGTGTGGACACTGTGCTCCTCTCGAGGCAGAAGGGGCAGTCGTGCCGGGGACCTGAGGTGCGGGTGGAGGGCCTGACCGTGCGGGGTGCACAGGGTAGGCAGCAGGCGAGGCCAGCGGGTCGGAGTGCCCCTGTGTGGCTGCCGCACTCTAGGGTCACAGCAAGGACAGCAGGACATCACACAGAAACGAAGCGAGCTGCAAGGCCAGAAGGTCCCGCAGGGCCACCGCAGTTATCTCAGCTTCCCCTTGCTTCCTCACACCAAATCTCCAGGAAGCTAAGGCGGAGGGGCCCAAGGGAATGAGAGCTGAGTGGGGCAGGAGGGAAGGCAGAGGTGGTGTAGAGCAGTGTTGGTCCAAGGAAGGAGGTGTGGCGGGGCAGGTGACCCTTTCGGACCCCCGGTGGGGCCGCCTGCAGAGGTGTCCGCTGTTCACCTCCTCCCTCCCTCTCACCTGTGTAGGAGCTGCTGCAGGCAAAGCGAGACCTTCATGACCTGCTGATCGCCAAAGAGGAGCTGGAGGAGCTCCTGCGAAAGCGAGAGCGGGAGCTCACGGCCCTGAAGGGAGCCCTGAAGGAAGAGGTTTCCAGCCACGACCAGGAGATGGACAGGCTGAAGGAGCAGTACGACGCAGAGCTGCAGGCCCTGAGGGAGAGTGTGGAAGAGGCCACCAAGGTGAGCCGCCGGGGCGGGGCGGGAGAGGATGTCCGGAGGGGGCACAGAGTGGCCGAGACCGCCTCTCCCACACCCGTGCTGGCTGCTTTCTTCCCCTTTAACTGCAGCGTGAAACTCAGTTCCATCAGCGCACGGAAATAGAGCTTGCTAAGAAAGTGTAAGCACCCTGGTGCTGTGACTTTGTAAGTCTATAAACATAAGCAGCCGAGGACTCCGGTTAGACACTGTTGCAGAAGGTGAGATTACGCAGCCAGCCTTGTGTCCTGTGGAGGTCTGGGTGTGGCTCGACTTGGCCCCGGGTTCGGGGTCCTGGCACACCCCACTGGGCCTGTCCCCCGGGCTGTGTGCAGCCCGTTGTGTAGTAATTCAGGTTATTCCTCAGCAAAGTCACAAGTGGGTTCACTGGCTGAGTTCAACCCTTACAAGGTAACTTTCCTCATAGTTGAATTTTTGGCTCCTGTAAATAGCTCCTAAATGACGTCAGAGTCTTTCCGTGTGAGCGGCATGTTGGCTGTGGAAGAGAAGAACAGTGTTCGGAAGGGGGAATGCTTTGAAATACGCCATCTTTAGGGAAAGGGAACGACAGTGTATACCGTGTTCAGAGCTCCTGTGACATTAGGTTGACACTCTGAAGACAGGGCTGTTGGTATTGTTTGTTCTGTGGAATCACAGTGACAGCGCGGTGCTCTCGGCGCTGGGAGCTCCGCCCGCAGCCCCCGGCTCCCTGGTGCTCTCAGCTGAGTCACGGTAATCACAAGTGACAGGAGCGAGAGATGGGTTTGTTTGCTCCAACAGCGACAAGACTAGGAAATGGTCTGTTTGGGGTTATTGGAACTTTGAGACACTTTTAAAAAGCCTCTTGTTGATTTTGTTTGAGATCTGATTTAATTGATGAGAAGGAGCAGAGCAATTGGGTGCTTGCCGCTGTGAGGGGGCATCGTCGTTGCTGTGTGTTAGCCGGGTGTCCTTGCTTGCCCTTCACATGCTGGTGCCCCACCAGGGCTTTGCAGTGAGCTCCTGTCTGTGCTTCTCTTGGGTCACTTTCTGCCACCCCTTGGTCCCTGTGTCAAAGCCCAGGTCACGTGACACGTGCTGGGTGCCTCATGACAGGCCACGGGAGCAGAGGGCAGCTGAGTCCTTCCTGGGCCCACAACGAGTGCGTGGGTGGGGAAGGAAGCCTGTGGTGGGAGAACCTTTGCCATAAGGAATCACAGCCCCGGGAGGACCTGGGCACTGCACGGTGACCCTTGGCAGGTCTGCCTGATGTTCTTGTTACGTGATCATGGAGTCCGTCAGTCCCTGAGAAAGGGACAGGTGGTTGAGACGTGTGTGGTTGACAGAGAAGGCGGAAAGCTGGCGTGAAGGCCTCACCCAGAGTGTGCCAGCTGCTCTGCTGCCGGTACCTTTCCCTCCAGCAGTGAGAGCGTACTGGCCTCTGCTTCAGTGACTGGCGTGGCCCAGAGCTGTCCACGTGGTAGGTAATGCAGCCCCGGTCTGATTCCCCTTAGAAAACGCTGGATTCTTTTGGCCCTGTCCCCTCCTTATACATGCAGAGGGACTGGCGCCCACTTTGCAGCTGCCCACCCTGTTCTCATCCTGCAAACCTTCCCCAAGTGCCCCGTCCCTTGGGAATGTGCTCTGGACACCCCCTGGTGCAGTCAGGTGTGCGTTCCTGAGGGTTCTGTTGAACGCTGGCTGTCCGGGGCTCACCTCCTCCCTGTTGGAACCTGTCCTCGGGCCTCTCACCTCACTGAGCCCAGCTTGTCGAGCACAGGGGCCGTTTTTGTCCCTTGTCTTTTTTAGTGCAGGAATGCTGGACTCAAGCGTGTCCAGACGGAGTGTGAGCTGCGGGTGCTGTGGGCGTGGCGGGCCGGCGGTGCCCCAGCAGGTCACAGAGCACGTCCTCCGTGCTTGGGTTGCTCGCTTCTCCGCTCCGTCTTTAAAGTGAAGAGAAGCTGGACCCATGTTGCTAGACCTTCCCATTTTTAGAGAGAAGTCAGATAATCTGGATGTTGGTGTGAAGTCTCTGACTTTAGGCAAATGCTGTCTTTTTGGTACTTTGTTACAGGATGATGTTACAGAATAGAATTTTAAGAGTATTCTGTTAAATACTTGGAGAAGGAATCAGATCCAGTTTTTTAATCTGGTAGAGGGAGTTTCTGTAATTTGTTCACTGACCTCAGTCGTTTCCCCACCCCGGCCACAGACTTGTCCACCACTGTGACTAAAAGCTGCTATTTCTTTAAGGAACTGAACTGCATTAAAAAGTTCATTTCCTTGACAGGTCTGAGGAGGCTGCCCGGCCTCCTCCCAGCAGTTTTTCTGACTTTAGCTGCTAACCCGAGCCGAGAACCTCCAGAGTGAGCTTTCATCATTGTTGTCTCACAAGCACTTCGTCCTGGCCTGAGCTTGAGCTCTACAAGTTTTAAATTACTAGAACACTGGGTGAAAACTGTCAGGTTGTATTAGGAACATTTTGCAGGTATTCCAGACAGCTACTTGGTAGCAGCTTTTTGGAGACCAGAACACCTTTTGGAGAGTGCTGGATGGACGGGAATTCGTGGTTGCCTGGTCAGGCTGCGCCCGATGCTAGCGGACGGTCCTGTGGATCCAAGCTGGAGGCGGCAGTGGCGGCGTGACTATGATAAGGGTGGTTTTATCTGCCTTTCTACAGGGAGGTGCCTCTGTAGGAAAAGGGATTCTGTCAGACGTTCTTTAAAAGCACTCGTCAGTACTTTGGCACCTTATTTCCTGACATACTTTTGACTCTGTTGTGTGTCCTTTATGCTTTTTCAGGCTTTGAAAGGAAAGCGCCTCCTTGTCCTGGGTTTGTGGCAGTGGCTGGACCATCGGAGGGAGTGGCCCGTGGGGGATGGAGTCGCTTTCCCCTGGGCCGTCTCGTCCCTCACCCTTCCTGTTTCCATCTTGTACAGAAAAGAAGTGCAGATAATATAGTCTAAGGCTTCTCTGAGAGGAGGCTTGGGTCCAATGCAGCTCCCTCGGGAAATCACCTGGTTGTTCTTGGATTTTTAGTTTCCACCCACCTGGTGTTGTTGGAAATTTTGTCCTTGCTTTTTTATCTTTCCTGCCGTTCTGGGGACCATCGTTGTTTCTCACTTGGCTTTCCCAGTGGGCTTGGTGCCCAGTGGTTGGGTGGTGGTAAGTGTGGTGGATTACAGAGGAGAACAGACAAAGGGAAGGACATCCACAGAATCCCTAGCGAGCCCAGGATTGAGAATTAGACTGTACTGGGGTCTCACGAAGTAAAATCATTTCTCATGAAAGTAAATTGTCCATTAAGAGCAATAGCATAACGTCAACGTTCATCTTGGAAGGGCTAATTTCATATATTTTGAAGAAGGTAAAACATCCTCTAATATTTTTGAGTCAGGAAATAGAATTTGCGGTATCCCTAAAGTTTAGCAGTTATGCAACACATATCATAAGAGAATGGGTGGGTGAGGCAGAGAGAGGAGAGAAGATGCCGGGCATGGTACCAAGGTCTCTGAGGCCATAAGGAGAAACTAGATAACATCTGCCCCTCCAGGAGGGGGAAGTGAGGTAAGTGACACCCAGGCTGGCTGTAGGAAGAGCGGTCACCCCGTGTGAGGTCTAGGTAAAGACCTCATGGTGTGGTGGCGCAGGGAGAAGACGGCATTGGAGTTGTGCTTTGGCGTTTGCAGGGAGTGGCATGGTGGTTGAGGACACCCTGGGTCCAGAGGAGAGGTCAAAGGGTGCCTCATAGGTGGGCCAGGGAGATGTGTGTCTGGGCTGGGCTTTGTTGGAGAAAGTGAAGGTGGCTACAGATTAAAAGAGATTTAGGAGGAAGGGACCAGCATCCAATGTGTGGACGTGTTGGGATCTCGATTCAGACAGACCCATTATAAAAACAAAAAACATCTGAAATCACTGGGCATGTCTGAAAACTGTCGCTGTGTTAATAATACCAGGAAATGACAGCAGTGGGGGGTGGCAGTGTGTTAAGAGCTTTTCTCTTTTAAGGAAACACACTGAAGTATCTGTGGGTGAAACAATGGGCTCTCTGGAATTTGCTGTGAAATAATTCATTTGGGGGGCGTGAGTAGGGTGTGCAGGGCAGGCCCCCATGTACTGGTAAGTGCTTACGCTGCGTGAGGGCTAGGTAAGAGTTAAACGATATTCTCCTCTCTACTTCTGCAAATGTTTGAGGCTTTCTATAGTAAAAAGTACGTAAGAGTCAAGATGGAAAAGATGGGATAGTGAGATGGTGGAGACTGTTTAGCTGGTAGTGAGAGAACACTGGCTATTGCCTTTTTATTAAGAGCTCAGTAGAGCCTTGCTTTGTGTTGGAGTGAGCTGGACAAGGGGCGCTGGCATGCTGGGAAGCAGGGGTGAGGGGGGCTGAGCCACAGGCAGGGGCTCAGGAGGGGCCGCAGTGCCTCAGAGGGCCCAAGGGCAGCGCTGTCTGGGGTTGCAGTATGCATATACAGTAAGTCCACGCTTTTATCTTGTTTGCTCATACTGTAAATTCTTTCTAACATTATGCCCATGTTTTATATCCTACGACCCTTGAAAATTTTGTTCAAATTCAATAATGTTGAAACTTTCTCCCTCCTTAACCACTGCCGTCCAGTTCTGTATGCGTGCTTTTCACCCAGTGAGCCGGAAATTCATGGCGTTTTGCAGGAAGGAGTGTATGCCCTGGTGACTGTCTCCTGTGTGGCTGGTAGATTTCCTTTCCCTCTTTCCCACCAGCCCCCACACAGGTTCTCAAGTGAACACAAGTTCTGCAGAGGGTCACATGGGAAAACCAGTGCTAATCTCAGGATTGGCACGGTTGCCTCCCTCAGACATGGCTAATTCAGTGTAAAATCTCATTTCTGTCTTCTCAAAGGGAGCCAGGTTAGCCAGGGAAATTCATTTCCTCTGCATTTGAACTTCCAATGATCAAATTACCATGAATGACAGCTGCTGAGAACCCGAGAGGCCTTAGAGCTTGCAGTCGGGTGTGCCCAGAAGGA